TTTGTTTCAATTAATTTGCTCAAGGGTGTTATGTATTGAACACAAACTACCTGTAAAATTTCAGAATTGCTAACTACTAAACAATACAAAAGTAGCGGTTTATGGATCAGTTCTAACAAAGTTTGTCTGGAGAAATAAGAAAATTGAAATTAATTACACTATTTACATTGTTTGGGTTGTTGCTCTCATCTTTATTGCCATATTCACGACGTTTCGGCTGTTGTACTCTCCGGCCTGTGTCAGGAGATACACGCTGGAATTTCGAACAGAACCCTTTATCTAGTCCACGGGGATAGATAGTTCTAATTCCATGTGTTACATCTTTGGATATCTCCAGGACACATGACCCTGTGAATAAAAGTGTTAGCTGAGTAATCCAAGAGTGACTTGACCCAGAGAGTTGTGAGTTCAATACCTGTTCACAGCAGAGAGAGCGAAACCTTGGAGAGTTGAGTAACTAAGAGGAATTAACTGAAACCATGAACTTGCATACAAAGCAGCAGAACATTAAGAGATTAGAACAGTACGATCTACCGAATCCATTTTCCCCTGATTTGACCTCGTTCTGAGAGTACGATTCGCCTGCGCTAACCTTTTCAGCCGACAAATTTGGCGCTTTTCTCAAAATCTCGCTGCCAACATCACAGATCTCTTTGATAACCTTCCGGCTCATCGATTACTGGCTTCAGATGACCATCGATTATTTTCGAGAAGAAAGACCGATCACAGAAAGAAAGGTTTGGCACCGTAAACATTAATATAAAATAATTATGGAGAGAAAATTCAGTTGGATAATTTCGATCTCAAGTTTCGGTTACCAAATCCGCCTCTGTTTTAAATAGTATAGAAAGCTACTTGTAATTTTAAAAAAGAAAAAAAAAAAAAAACTAAAAAAAAAACGCTAATATATTGAAGTTATTAACGACATGTATCTCTACAGCAAAACAGGTCCCCACACAAGAGGCTGGACATACAAGGAGTGGGTCCTAAATTTTTTAATCTGTGTCAGACATATTTTATGACGAGCGATAAATTCTCTGAGTTTTCAAAGCGGCTAAAGAGAAACCGAAATTGAAGAAATAAATGAAAACTTGAAGTGATATTTGGTCATAAGTCAGTTGTTTTTACTTGCAGGATTATGTAAGTAGAACTACAATTAGAATGAGAGTGGGAGAGGAGCTCTCCGTTCAACTAGTTACTTCCGTTAAGGTCTCTTGGGGGTGAAGTGAAGAAAAGGGGCGATTGGTCCTATTTGCTATCTACGTACCCGCAGAGAGGATAAGATGTCCGACTTGAAATTCGGCCAGCAAATAAATAACCAAATTATCCAAATTTGGATTCATGTTGTGGCGTTAATATCACAATCCCTTTCGTTTGTGAACGTGCAGAGAAACTTTTCCAGTTTTGTTCACATTGACACTGGGCGGGAGAAAAACGTGTTAGATTGATTTCTATGGCCGGTGAAAAGCTGAGAGAAGAGACCGGTTGTATTTTCGCATTATATTTACTAGACTTAAATTATTGCTAAATGAACGGCTCAGGTACACTATTTACATTGCTCGGACTATCATCCTCGTCTTTGTTGCCATATTTATCACGACGTTTCGGCCGTTGTACGCTCTGGCTGTGGTTAGAATGTCGAACTGAACCCTTTATTTCGCTCACTGGGGTAGACTGTTCTAGTTCCACGTGCCATGTCTAATGGATGTCAGTTATCAGTTATCTCCTGTTAATTCCCCTCTCCAAGTTCTCCACTGCCTTAACCAGGTATTTAATTCACATTCTTTGAGTCGTGTCACTGGATCTAACTAACGTCTTTATCCACTGTGCCATGTGTCCTTGAGCAATGTAAATAGTGTACATAATACCGCATCTCAACAATATAGACAGAATCTACTCAGGTATGCAATGGAAATAATAAATCTCTATTCTTGAAAGTAGGTTCAAATCGGAGATGAGATTTCTGAGCTGCCTGGGAGTATTCAATCGGTAGGGATTCGATATTGAATCAGTTTGTGTAAAATAATTCGTTTAAGTTTTTGTCATGAAATTTTGACAACCAAACTTTCTGAATCGAAACTTTCGTATTTTTTAGATCTCTATTTTTTTTTTTTTTAAGTAAAACTTGATATTAATTCTCACTCTTGTAATTTCAATACCTTGCATCAATTGCCCCAGGTTGTCAAAGGTGTTGAAATCTAAGCAATTTAATCTAAAATTAAATCTCTTATAATTGAAGCACAAGTAATTAGAATTTTCACTTTTTACTTTATTAAAATCAAAGGAACAAATAAAATGAAAACTAAGAAACTCCACCTTTTATAGGAAACTTATTAATTTCTGTTGTTTTAGACTAAAAGATTATTCTCTAGTAATTCTTGTTTAAGCTTCAAAAATGTGAATGCAAAGCTAATTGTCATCTTGATTCCTCTTCTTTCATTGTCATCGCTTCTTAATAATATTTGCTCTCAGATTCTTTCGCATTCAGTAACCCTTCGCTTATTATTTGCTTTACGTTCTATGGCTGGATGTAAAAGTAAATTCTATGCTAACAGTGTCTTTTCGAGTTTGCGTATCTTTCTTCAGGTTTCTTGCTTTCTAGTCGATTTTGATCTTCAAAACTTTTCATGTAATGTTTATCGTTATTTCTGTATTTCTTCGTTTCTGTTCTTTTATTGTACTCCCTCCGTAATATATTTTTTCTTTTTCTCATATTTTTCACATTCAGTAAGTCGTTGCGTCTTAGTAGCTTTATTGCTTGAGATGAAATAATTAAAATTATGTTTACCATCATTATTTCTGTAATGCTATTCCAGTAAAATCCCTAGGTTTTAATTTTACTTTTTACATCCTAATTCCGTCCTGGGTATGACGACAAACTACATCCGCGTACTGGGTAAGACGATAAACTACATCCGCGTCCTGGGTTAGACGATAAACTACATCTGCGTCCTGGGTAAGACGATAAAATACTTTCAACAGAAAACCTTTGACCCGGGGTGGTAGCACCTGTAAGGGTCCCAGCTATTGCCAAATAGCTAACCCCCAAAATGGGGTCAAAACACTATGAAAGTGTAAAAATACTATTTAGTATCAGCAATATATTATTGTAAAAATATATTACCAGCAATGAATTTTTGAAGAAAAAAAAAATATTACCAGTAATACATTTTTGGAAAAAAAATATTACCAGTAATACATTTTTGGAAAAAAAATATTACCAGTAATACATTTTTGGAAAAAAAAATATTACCAGTAATACATTTTTGAAAAAACAAAACAAAAACATTACCAGCAATACATTTCTGAAAAACATATTACCATAAAAAATCTTGTTGGCATTAAATAACTCATTAATGTGGATATGCCTTAAAACAAAACAAGTCAAACCAAACTAAACATCCTATTTCCATATTTCTAAGCCGGATTTTGAAAATACTCCCTTTGGCAATCATTTTAGGCTGGATTTTACAAGTATCTCCACTGGCAACCTTTTATTTGCGTCAGCGTTTACTGTAGTTCATCAAAATCATCAACTCAAGCTACTGACTAAAAAAAAATATTGAATAATATAAAGCAACATTCTTTACATAATAAATAAAATCGCAGATAAGTTTTTATTAGACAAGTAATTCAAAAATTTCGTCCATATAAGAATTAAATATATAATGCCATAGCAAATTCTGACAGCAAGGAAACGATTCATTGTTTAGGCAAAAACAGAAAGAGAAATAAGACAAGGATCCGTTTTCAGATTGGAAAAAACAATACAGCAAGATGATACTTAAAATTATCAAAATTTAATATCGGCACAGATAGTAAAAACAAAAGGTACTCATGTGACACTGTGCTGATATGAAACTCAGGCGGGAAGCTGAAAGAACGTTCAGATAAAGCATCAACGGAAAGCTAGTAGAAAGGATTAACAATTATCTGTAATGGAATGGATCACCATCAAACTCAAAGTGGGAGCGATGTATTGGGGATATCAAAATGAATCAGGCGTTGTGATTTAACTATTTAAATAGTGTACAATGTTTGAAACCGAAATCTGTAGGTGCATATAGCGAAAGATGCCTTCCTGAAAATAAGTAAAGTATCAAGAGAAAATTCCGTTACAAACAAAGAAAAGATTACTGTACTGCTATGTAATATTTAATCTACTATATAGCACTTAATTCTGGAAAATCTTCTCTTACCTTTCAGAAAGTAATTGCTTGTTTAATGGCATCTCAACTCCCTATGGATTATTTGATGCTGAAATTTAATTTCCTTGTGAGCTTGGATAATTTATTCTTTTTTGAAATAATTGTTGGTGGTAATTTTTTAAAAATATATTGCTAGTATCTTTTTTATCTACGAAAATGTATTTTTATACTATCAGTTATTTTTCCCAAATTTGGAGGTTCCCTGTTTGTCCATAGCTTGGACCCTAACAGGTGCAACCACACCGGTCAGAGTGTGCCTGGGAACAAAAGCAATCAAGAGGAGGTTCCACGCTCTACAAAACCTCCCGATCAGAGGCCTTGCTGCCTGGCGTAGTTTATTGTAATACCAGTGACGTTTCAGAAATAAGCAAAGTATTAGTAGATAGGAAAATATCGTTAGAGAAGAGAGAGTTGAAATGCTATATCATATTTTATCTTCTAAATGTCAATGAATGCTGGACAATGGCCTCATTAATAAAGAAGAGACTTGAAGTTAAAGAGATGTGATTCTACCGAAAATGCCAAGGATATCATAGACATATGTGCAACGAAGAAGTTTTAAATAAAATAGGAACTAAAAAAAGGTTGATATTTAGAAAAAACGATTGTTGAAATTTACGGGACTGATAATGAAGAAAGGAGGCTTGTCGAATCTAACACTAACAAGATATGTTAAAGGCAAAAGAATCGGCGGAAAACAGCTAGTAAATTATGGGACGCGTTTTTGTGATTGCAAGGTGGAATAGAGACGAAGCGAGTTTGAATAGGGACGAAGCGAGTTTGAATAGAGACAAAGCGAGTTTGAATAGAGACAAAGCGAGTTTGAATAGAGACAAAGAGAGGTGGAATAGTGACGAAGCGAGTTTGAATAGAGACAAAGCGAGTTTGAATAGGCACGAAGCGAGTTTGAATAGGCACGAAGCGAGTTTGAATAGAGACGAAGCGAATTTGAATAGGGACGAAGCGAGGTGGAATAGGGACGAAGCAAGTTTGAATAGGGACGAAGCGAGTTTGAATAGGCACGAAGCGAGTTTGAATAGGCACGAAGCGAGTTTGAATAGGCACGAAGCGAGTTTGAATAGGCACGAAGCGAGTTTGAATAGGCACGAAGCGAGGTGGAATAGGGACGAAGCAAGTTTGAATAAGGACGAAGCGAATTTGAATAGAGACGAAGCGAATTTGAATAGAGACGAAGCGTGTTTGAATAGGGACGAAGCGAATTTGAATAGGAACGAAGCGAGGTGGAATAGAGACGAAGCGAATTTGAATAGAGACGAAGCGAATTTGAATAGGGATGGATCGAGTTTGAATAGGGACGAAGCGAGTTTGAATAGGGACGAAGCGAGGTGGAATAGGGACGAAGCTGAGGTGGATAAGAATTAACTGTTGCTTAAATAAAAATTAAATTAAATTAAAAAAAACGAAGTTTTGTAGGGAAGTGAACGCCCACGACGTTCGGAATGAAGATTGCCCTTAAAATAGGGAGGTAAAAACAAGAAACAATAATCTCAGTTTTCATCAGGTAAAGGCGAGCAAAGGATTCGGCTTTTTCTTTCACTTGCCACGGATTTCATCATTCCTCGATCATTCTTCCGCTAATTTAGATACATTCTGCGCTAACGAACCGAATGTTTCTGGCGGTTGGTTAAATAAATAATGCAACTAAAACCCGAATCTGGAAATCATTATAATTATTTTCTTTTTTACTATTAGTTTTTTACTCATTATAATTTTCACTTGCCTTTTTTTTGTCTCGTCAATAATTGCGATTTTCTAAGCGTAGCTTAGATGTGGCGCAAGGTCGAAAGTATGGGGATGTCCAGTTTGGACTGAACCCACTACTCAGTCGTAAACGTACTTGTGAGACAAACTTGCTAATCATTACACTACGTTGAGGTGCCCAATAAGTTTACCCCGGTAGTAAAGGGTCTGCTTACAATACCAGGTATTCCCAAGTATCCCCGATTTAAGTACTGACCTGGATCTACGATGCTTTACTTCGGTAATCGAACGAGAACCGGTGTGTTCCTCGTGATTTGACCGTAAGCCTCGTCAGTAATGCAGGTGAAATGAAGCGATGGATTTAACTTTCAGATTTGGTCTTTTACGAGCCGACAAGTTCACGTAGTTAGAGCAACCGACGATTTGCCAGTTCAAATCTCATCAAGAGTTTAGATTATATTTCCGACATAATGTCTGTTTTGTTTCCAGTATTAATTGTTTTAACACGCAAAATATTTTGACCGTAGTGTTTTATGGTTTCTTTCGTTAATCGTTATTATTGCATTCTACATTCTGTCAGTCATGTGACGATGGAGTGTCAAGACGACAAAAGCAAGCAATTTTCCACACTTTATTCTTTTCGCTTTCAATCGAACCAACCACGCATGACCGTTGGTCGCGAATTTGACCAAAAACGCTGTTCAAGCGACGGTATTACTGCATCCACCGTATTCGCTTGACTTAGCACCTTCAGATTATTAGCATTCTTGATCGCTTTCCAACAGTCTGCGAAACCTTTCGTTCAATAATGACGTGGAGCTTAAAACGTGGTTCAATGAATTCTTAGAGTTAAGACCCGATGATTTCTATTCGATTAAAAGTTTAATATTAATATGTGTGTAACAAAAACTTATGTGTAAATTTTGTTAATGTCTTGTGTCTCTCAAACATCCGAACTTTATCGTAAGTGGCTCTTATATTAAGCAAATTTGTCTACCTCGGGAACAGAAGTTTATGGGTCATTTTTTTTATTGGACACTTAGTTTGAGGTCATTGTCAGTACTATGTAACATGATATACTGAAAATTAAAGTGTTATTTGTTTCTGTTTTGTAATTGATTTTGTTTAGGTCATTTTATGTCGGGTAATGTGGTAATCCAAATTTTTGTTTATAAAACAATATTGTTAAAGATGAAATAGTATTGTTTTGGTGATGAGTCAGCAGCGTTTTATGATTTTAGTGATTGGTGGGGAGAGGTTTACTTTTAACTGTGTTGAATACTTTAAAACATTGAAGCATTTCTTAGCAGGAAAGTTACTCTAAAGGGACTTAATAATCTAAACTCGTCATGAGTTTTCCAGCCATTTTTATTCACTTTGATTTTTCAGCCATGTTGTCTGAATTTTTAACATGTAACGGGATGATTGTTTGAAGGAGAGAGTTAAAATGTATTGTTATGTCTTTCGCCAGTTTGGGAATAGCAGTACCAATACCTGATATATATATATATATATATATATATATATATAGTAGTCGACTCTCCAGATCAGGAAACCTACAACGACACATGAGATTTGATTATAGTGGTGAAGGCTTCGTGCAGAACCATCCACATTTTTGAAGGAACGAATACAGAGACCTGGTGCACAAAGTGCCACAAGGTTCCCAGACGACCCTCCGCAGGTTTTGAATTCAGAGTTGTCCTTCTCTTAGACATATATATATATATATATATATATATATATATATATATATATATATATATATATTTTAAGACATTTTTATGTTTTATACATTCTTTTTATAGGTACAAATATTTAAGTAAATGCTCTGTTTATAATAAACAACAGTATGAAACGATTTCATAGAAAACCTGTATCTTATATGGAACCGTGATATAGCCGGACGTGCCTTAACCGTTTCAGCCACAGAAGAGCGTTCGGTTAGCAAGGTCGATTTTACTGTCTTTAAACTACAATCTTACATGATTCTCTCACGTACATTCATATCTGCTCAATGCGTATTCAAATGTAAACAAATTATTTTAAGAAATTTTTATGTTTATACATTCTTTTTATAGATACAAAAAATGTCTTAAAATAATTGTCGGACATTGTCCATTTCATAATATATATATATATATATATATATATATATATATATATATATATATATGGCCGTTGAGCATTTTACTTAGTGAGTAGGTGTCTATTTTCCTTTTGGTCTTAATTTCTTGTTCGGGATTTTATCTCTTCTGTAGTATTAGGGCTTCTGGTAAGTTGATTGATTTCTTTAGTACAATATATATATATATATATATATATATATATATATATATATATATATATATATATATTCTGGACGTTATAAATGGATAGAAGACTACCTCCTGAGACGCGATTTGCACCGAATGTTATCATTCTCAGTTTTATTTCAGTCGCATCGAGAGACATAATGTGGCATCTGCAATCTGACGCGGGAAATGCACAACTTTCTTGCGACAGCTGATGTTAAGCCGAGACCATCGCAAAAAGATAGGATCTTGTAATTAGCCATGTCATCCCTCTTCAAGATCAGTAACGAGCCAGCCGGTTGGCTCTGTCGGGGATATAACCTTATTTGTCACCCACAAAAGAGATTTGACCCTTGTTTCCTGTTTAGGATTGAGATTCCGGTTCCTTTTAAAGTCTTCTCATTCTCTTTCACTCCCACGACACTCTTGAATCTTTGTGGTACTATCGCCTTGCTTTAAAAAGAAATGTATTATTCGATTTCATTTTCAGTGCTGATAACCGTTACACTAGCCACATAGACTAAATGCAGTGAACCTTCAGGATGTTGGTAATTGCGGTTCTCCGCATAAAATCCTTTTCTTTATTATCTCTTGGGAAAGGCAGTGGAGGTGTTTCCCTTGACCTTCTTCACGGTTTTAATTTATCCTGGACTCTTTATCAGCCAAGTTTATAAAGAGCCGAGTCTACAATGTTAGTTAACAAAATAAATAAATAAAATAATGACGGGATGAAGAGACAAGTTCATATCTTTCCCTAGTGAAAGTGAAAGTAAGAGACTAGGCTAGAATTTGAACTTGGCTTACTACTTACAAATTCCGAGCCAGTAACTGCTATACTCCCCAGACAACATTGAAAAAAGTTTTCTTTTATGTACTGTGTCTCTTCAAGGCTTTAGTGATCATGTCTATCTACAACTTCCTATCTTTTTTTCCTCTAAACAACATTTGCCCCTTTACTATTTATCTTCTGTCATCCAGCCCTTATAGGGGACGAATTATTCTCCACCATTCACTCCCCACTTCCACAGGCAGGATGTGGCGAACCTCTCGCTGCCTTACTGCTTCTTCTGCGGAATGTGCTCTCCCCACCAATCACTAAAAACCGTTAGCAACAAAGTAAAGATTACTTACCTGTAACGTAACGTCAGTCCTCCTGTATGGCAGTGAATTCTGGGTAATCTCCTTAACGATAAAGAATAAACTTGAAGTAGCAGAAATGTAATTCTGCAGATGGATGCTGAGAAAAACATGGACCAAACATGTGAGCCACGAAGAAAAGAAAATGAAAACAAAAAGGCTCGCCATATCAAAACTTCATAGCAAGAACACGCCATGCCACTTGCACAGCAGCAAACCACCAACATGCCCCACCCCGTATTCCATCGGTGAGAAGTAAGTTCCACTCGAACAGCTTTTTCCTGCGAACCACTGCCCTGTGCAACCGACCCCCAATAGGATGTTTCCCCGATCACTACAATCTTAACCTGTTCAAGGCTTGGGTTAACCGTCACTTTCCACTCCTATGCGCACAAATGGCCTCATAACGTAACAGTCCACCACGACTGACCCCGCGCGTTGATAGATAAAAAGGGTTAGTCTTACTGTAAAACCCAAATTGCACAAGCATATTAGATGTACGACTCTCTGTTCTTTGAATCAGCTTCTCTTGTCTTTAATATGTCTCGTGCGAGTAAACTTTTCCAAGCCTTTTTTTTTCGTTATCGACCCTACAACTTTCAACTGTCTCTTTCCGATTCTAAGTTTAAGTACGATTTTGTTTCTATTTTCCTAGAGTATTTACTAGATTGGAAGTTTTAGGCAGACATGATCACTTAAGTATTGAAGAGACACAGTACATAAAAGAAAAGTCTTTTCGGTGTTGTCTGTGGAGCATAGCAGTTACTGGCTCGGAATGTGAAAGGGGTGAGCCAAGTTCAAATTCTAGCCTAGTCGCTTACTTTCACTTTCACTTTCACTTTCAATTTTCCTTGGTTACATGTTCTGCCCACGGTATTCTCAATATCATTCTATAGAATATATCTGTTAATTTAAGTCGTCTATTCGTCTGTGAGGAAAGGAAACTGTTCAACATTTACTGCAATAATTACATCCAGTCTCATAACTTTTACCTCCGTGTCTGTAAGTAATATACTGTGTCAGAAGAAGATTTCGTAACATTTTTAGTGAATTTTAAAGACAATATTTAGGTATTTGAATCTACATTTATTCAAACACATGTGTATCATTTTGTTCCTCTGCCCTTTTTTAATCTTGAGACAGATTCATGATGCCTCTTCTTTGATAACTTTCTAGATGATGAATTGGTCTAAGTGGTTTTTAAAGGCTTACAGATAACTGAAGTTCTTTCAGTTAAGAGAATTTTGTAGCAATCAAAATAAATGGTAATCCGAATTGGCAAATATTGGTGGTTATGTCAAGTGCAATAGACGATGCCAGCAAAATGATACTAATTTCTGCCGAAAAGAAGTGAGGGTCTGGCATTGTTTTTAAATATTCGTTTTTTTTTTGTCATACGGTTCTTTAAATCTGTGTCTATTGAATGTCAATGATTATTTAGATATTTGCACATAGCCTATATTTCCATATATAAGACGACTAATAGATAAGACGAGACCCAAAATTTAGGTGAATGTTCCTGATTTTGTCTGACATAAAATTAATCAATCGACGAAACTGTAAATGGCGAATTTTGTGAATGGCTCATTGTATAAGTTGGTGATGATCGTAGTAATTTTGAAGCGTCTTAATTATGTTTATAGGTGATTTGATTTTTATTCTGTAATGAGAAATAAAAAATTTATGGCCTCTTAAATGTTTGTTGCTTAACACCGCAAAAATACCGTATAATTTGTTATTAAATGATAAAGTTTGCTTGTTATATAAAATGTTGTTATTTAACACCACAATGATAATTAATTTTAGTTAGAAATATAGAATCTATATTATCATGAATGTGACTATCTTAACGCGATAATGAAGAATAATGATTGGTGTGAACGCAGACATAGCTCAACAAATCATGAAAGAAAGATGAGTTTGCGTAACTTGTTGCTCGTGCGTGTTTGCTCAGCGGAACTTTTACAAATTGTTCCTTAATCCTCTCTTGAATATTGGATATAATGTGAAATCAAGAATTAAATGTAGTTTTATTACATTTATAACTGTAGTACAGAAATATAACGTGATTTGTTCTAATTAGAAATCGGTAGTTACAAGACCGAGGCAGTTGTTAGCCTAGCGCGATCCATGGCTCAAGAGTACCAGCCTAACTACGAGTTCCGATACACCACATGAACTTTTGGTAAAATGTTGAATTAGACGACCCTCCCTATTTTTGGTACTAATTTTTAAGAATTAAAGTTCATTAAAAGTAGTTTTATTACATTTAATACAGCATCATAATGTGAATGATTTCAATTAGAAATATTTACATCGGTAGTTACCAGACCGAAGCAATTGTTAGCCTAACGCGATCCATGGCACAAGGGATCCATCCTAATTACCAATGCTGATACACCACATGATTTAAGATTAGCTTTTGGTAACTGTTGTATTAGACGACCCTCCCTATTTTTGATGCTAATTTTTAGGCCTTAAATTTCATTAAAATTAAAAGTAGTTTTATTACATTAAATACAGCATTATAATGTGACTGATTTCAATTAGAAATCTTTACATCGGTAGTAACCAGACAGAAGCAGTTGTTAGCCTAACGCGATGCATGGCGCAAGGGATCCATCCTAATTACCAATACTGATACACCACATGATTTAAGATTAACTTTTGGTAACTGTTGTATTAGACGACTAGTTGTGGAGGGTAATTTTTAAGATTTAACGTTCGCGTTATAAGCCGAAATATACGATAGATTTATTCAATGACATATACGCCATTTTGTTCAACTATTTTTCGCTGTATTAGACATAACTTCACTGGAGAAATTATATTTTCAAAAAAATATAATTCATCCGTTTTGAAATAGTTTTTTTTTCAATTTGTAATCCTTTAATTAGTTACTCTTGAGCAATTTGTCAACTTTAATCCGGAGGTTGTTCATTAAATATTTAAATATTTGCAAATTTAATCCAACCAATCAAATTATTCCTTTTTTGTGGAGGTGAGGTCTTTTCTTTTTTCCTCCTGGGAACCTGCAATTGATTCATCAAATCCCTTTCTATCTTGCGTTTCCTTTTTCTTTTGCGATTCCAATTTATGCTTCAATCAATTCACAAGTCAACGTTTCAAGATATCCAAAATCATCAAACGTCATCATCTTTCAGCTTATTTCTGGTTCAGTAATTAATAACTTGACTGTGAAAGGGGGGTGGAGAAACAAACAAGCACTTTGAATATCGTGAAACCTTGTCAATCGATAATCACAGAGTGAAATAGATTGAACCGCACG